CTATTGAGGACCGAGATTCGTAATATTTTAAAATCTTTGCTTTATCATCGCTTGTGCGGATAAACGCTCCCCCCACTTCTTCCGGTGTATTATAACGTAACGGTTCTGCACCGTCATCATTCAGATCCAGAAACCCGAAGTGTAATCATGATCACTACACTTCTAGGTCAAAGTAGCTAGATCGAAGGCCCTGCATGATCTGTTTGCGCAACCTACATACAGTATCATAGATGTTCGGAGTCCCAAGCTGATGTATATCCACGCAGAGAGCCACATGCGGGGGGGGGGGCGGGGGGCACTCCCTATATATTGCATAGTAGGTATATGTGCCGCGGTTATGGCCCCCCTTTTCACCTTAAACTTTCCGCACTGGAGACCCTCCCCCCTTTTCACATATTTGCCGTCCCGGCTCATAGGTCGTACTTTTTTCCGCACGTTCCTGAGACCCCCTTTTTCACATATTTCCCGTCTCTGCGAATATGTCCCACTTTTTCTGAACGTTCTGGGTGACATCCTCTCGCAAACATGTCCAGTTCCGGAGCATCATGCTTTCCAGCAAACCCTGTCCCTAGTTCTGGAGATCCCCATTTTGATGTGCCGAGTTACTTGATCCTTGATCTAAGCTTTTCTGAGCCGTAGTGTTCTCTTTGTATGGTAGGAACTTAATATCCCCCAGGGTACTGCCGGAATTAACGTACCCTGGGTACGGTCCGGTATACCAGAACTTACCCTGGTAACTATATCTAGCTGATATGGTTAGGGTTACGGTTAGTGTTAGGGTTAGGGTTAGGGTTAGAGTTAGGGTTAGGGTTAGGGTTAGGGAGAACAAAACATATTTACAGACCCATTAATTCAAAGTTATGTAGTTCTCATGTCTGAGCTTATAGATAGGCTACTTTTTTGCCTTATAAACAAAACACATTTTGTAAAACACATACTTTTTATACATGCCAAGGGGCAATTGTAACACGTTGTTACATTTGCCCCCGAGGAGACAACCATAATTTGGGGGCTGTTTTTGTATCTTAGCATTAGTATTCGTCAATGAAACCTTTACCAAATACAGGCCTAAAAACCAATTTTTTTATGATATACAAATGACAGTGATAGCTCAAGTACATATTTGTCCAGAAAAAAAACATTAGGTAATTCGAGATTTTACTTACCTGCTAAAAAAACGATGTTTTGGCTGTCAAATGTTCCTCGATGCGTAAACCTGCCTACCCTCAGGACAGCATGTGGGGCAATGAAATGTGCATGCGCTGTGAGGAGCGTATACATATAGCACGTTTCTACTAGGAATGAGGGCCTCTGTTACATTTGCCCCGTGTTACAATTGTCCCCGGTCTCCCCTACTATAAGGTGAAACTATATTTCGCTATATTTTATTCGGATTGAGCGTCGTTACTGAGCAGAAAATCAAATATCGTAATAAAGCTTTTAAATTCCCAGTTTCCTTTTCCTTATTGCTGCCCAGGCATCTGCTGCCTCATGGAAGAGGAAGTCCTGAGCTGATGGGCCTTCCACAGACACCATTATAAGGGCATTTAGTGTGTTCTGATTCAGTCTTATTAGAAGTCTAGTTAGAAGGAATCTGATGAAATAGGCTGGTTATTGTGAGGTGTTTTTTATTCATAGCGGATTGCGAAGCACTATGATATGAGGCTCAGGACAAGTGAAAGTCTATGTCGGACAAGTTATTCGTTTGGCTAGTTGCCCGATTGAACAACTAAAAAATTTCTAGTTGTGTAATATTCCTAACATCCTTAGAGCCAGGGCGCTATCGCACGACATTCTCACATTATATTTTCAAAAGCCGCCGGAAAAAGCGGCCCGCGAGGCACGCGTCTGTGGCTGTCCACAATTGACGCTGCGTACGTGCCTGCTGGCTGGGGGCGGCATTGATTGAAGTACGGGGGGGGGGGCACGATTGTTTCAGTCGTGGTACTAATCACTACTAAAATGTAGAGGGTTGGCATTGATTGAAGTACGGGGGGGGGCACGATTGTTTCAGTCGCGTGGTGCTAATCAGTAATCACTACTAAAATGTAGAGGGTGGGCACCGCTGGGCTATGAGAGAGCGACAGCAAACTTCTTTCCTGGAATTGAGGAAAAAGCTAAAATCGGGAATGACACACGAGTGTGCCGGCACACAAAAATAAACGTGTGAACCCCTCGTGGATCACACTGGCCTCAATGTAATCTATCGAATCATGCGGAAAGTCACACGAAAGCCACAGGTCAACATCCTCGCTGTCTTTAAACTGGTTTGAACAACGATAAACGTTTCTATTTAAACTACGTCGTGTATCCGTGTCCCACGGTCGGCGCACGTTATGTATACACAACGACGTGCCGTCTCATGGTTAAATCCATATTTGCATACTAAACGCATCCATGCGCAATGTCATACGAACGCCACACAGTGCACAGTGATCTCGCTGTTTCTTCATACACCAATGCTAAGTATATACATGCCATTCATGTCAACAGTCTCGTCATACACCAATGCTAATTGTATATACATGTATATCATGTCAACAGCAAGGCATAGCAAAACAAGGGCCACAATGTAAATAAGTGTGCTAGTCATGCTTTTTGTGTATATATCCTTGGTAGTTATCCAATTTTATGAATTCAGTATTTATTGTAAGCTATGTATTGTATATGATGGATAATTGCGTAAATAAATAAATAAATACAAAATAAAAATAAAATCGACGTATAAAATCAAGCGAAGACAAATCAGATGTTATCTATCGAACTCGCTCCATTTGTTTTATTTGTAAGCGAGGTCATGCGGGGACGGCGGGTGACGCGAAAATGAAGTCCGTCGTATACGCGTGTACTTATGCACACTGTACAGTAGTACTTCTTAGTGGCAATAAACTCTCGCTTTAAAAAAAGTGCATATTACAAAGTAGAGACACAATCATATATATAGGCCTATATATAATAGCTTTCACAGAAAGGAATAAATCATTTAAAAATTGCAATGCGCACAAATGCCGCTTTTTAATACAAACACTATATTTACGCGAAGCAATATAGAGGCTTGTGGTGCGAATTGCCTGAATGAGCTAATTTTACTGCATTAATATATACGTATAATATAAAGCGGAGGACGGGTGCGTTTAGGGAGAACACTACACCTTACCACCCACTCGCCGCTAGTATCGCGGATCCGCACCTATATTGTAGACGCGAATTTCGCACTACACACACCGAATTCGTTTAGAAGAACTGTGAGAAACTAGAGGGAAGTCAAAGACAAGAAATAACAGCAAACAACGAACGATTAACTTTACTAATCTTAAGACTCTAAAACTCTAAAACTTTTTAAACTCTAAAACTTTAAGACTATAGATAAGAAAGTACTCTGTCAGTGGAAAATCTTCTCGACAGACATGGAAAAGAAATAAGAAATAATAACCCAGTGTCACGGACCTACATAATTCTCTAACACAGTTAGCTAAAATCTACCGAAAAGAAGTCTACCGAAGCGGACACCTAATGGTACCAAGCGACCCAGTTAGCGCCCGCGATCCCCTCTACGAGTCTACGTCATCAATGTCATCGATAGCACCTATTCTAGCCATGCTGTCTATAACCAAATAAGGTGGCGTGAGGCATCATCTCATACGTCTTGGTGGCGCGAAACACAACCAGACCATAAGGCATCGATCAAAGGGTTGTTTGTTAAGAAACTAGGAGAGAAGAACGTAAGTTGTTGAGAACGGCCGAAGGAAACTCTTTTGGCAGTCAACGGTGACCGACGCCGTGTGTCAATGGTTAACGTAGCCAGATTTTGTACTGATTTCTATATGCAGCGGGCACCTTACATGAAAGGTCTTCGTCTCATTTTTTCTTAAAAGCGGTCCACTGATAGAATGTTATCATATTAATCTATGCTAGAATACCTCCTCTCCAGTTTAAATGCATAATGTTCGCAAAGTTTTATTCTTCTCGGGCGATATAGCGCATGCTCGAGCACCGTTTTAAGCGTGCAGTACGGACTAAAGGCAGCTTGCTAAGAGAGAAAAGAGAGAAAGAGAGAGAGTGAGGTGGGAGATTAAGGAAAGGCGGTAGGGAAGATAGCTGAAACGCGGTAGATGAGAAATAACGCTGAGCGGGGGACAAGGGAGGCGAAAGGAAGGACGGGAGGTGACGAAGTAGGGGTTTCGCACCCTACAGGCTAGGGCGCTCTCCTAGCTATAAACACAGGTCTACGGAGAACAATTTATTACATAAATCTATGCTGAGATACCCCCTTACCATATTAAATGCATATTCACCAAAAAATATAACTCCTCTGGTGAGATATTGCGCTTGCGCTAGCGCCCTAACGTAGCCAGATGGTGTACTGATTTCTATATGCAGCGGGCACCTTACATGAAAGGTTTTATTTCTATTTCTTAAAAGCGGTCTATACTGATAGTATGCAGGACAGACATTTTTGTACCTATAAACTTGACAAAAATGAGTTTTGTGAACACAAACCTCAATTCTGTCAATCCTGTCCCACAAAACTCAATTTTGTGAACACAAAACTCAATTTTGTAAACACAAAACTCAATTCTGTCAATCCTGTCCCACAAAACTCAATTTTGTGAACACAAACCTCAATTCTGTATTAATCGTTGAAAATAATATGGATTGTTATTGGATTAATCTTCCACGTTCCAGACGCCGATCAAGGATAGCTGTGCCAGTGCTGCTAACCCGGACTTCCAAACTGTGGAGATTTGTTTTCACTTGAGGGACTTCATTATCATAAAAAAGCACAACAAAAACATTATATTATAACATTAAAAGCAATAAACAGCGTATATTTATTTACAGGATAGGATATTGGGAGGGGTTCAAAAAAACAATGTACGTGTAAAACGGGAATTTCCCCGTCAAATAATAAAATAAATAGACATAAATACAATGCCTACTCCTATCATTAGAACATGCCATATTAGTGATAACATCATACTTTATTATACTTTAGCAGGTGCCAGTGCAGGAAGCAGAGATGAAGTGAATAATTCGTCCTCAGCATCTGTGCAGTCGGCCGTATCTCCCATGGAACACACAGACGTGACTGCCAAGACGACCAAGGACATTCTAAACCTCGGTGCACAGCACAGGGAGCAGGCGCCCTCTGGTGGCATCGAGGATGTCGCGGACGCGCGAGAGGATCCCATGGACGTCTCGGATGCCGCGGAAGTCGTACCGGCCGTTGTTTCCGAACTCGTCGACTCCGTTACGAGACAAAATCTGTCGTGGACACCACCCGATGCTTCGTCGCCCGTGCCGCGCCCCGAGCAATCGTCTGCGTCACCGGCGACGATGACGGCTCGCGCAGACGCCAGCCTGTCAGCGGAGAAGTGGGAGCAAGTGAAGCCACAGCTGACTAGAAGGAAGCTCCACGAGACGGAGGGGCAGCAGGACCAACAGAGGCGCGCAGCGGAGGGATCCTCCGCCGGGAAGCCTAAGCGGACGCAGACGAGGGACCGGTCTCCATTGTCGGACCCGGACAGAAAGACGAAAACTTCTATCCAGGTGCGTGAGATCTGTATCCAGGTGTGAGATCTGTATCCCGGTGTGAGATCTGTATCATTGTGGGACAGGATTGACAGAATTGAGTTTTGTGGGACAGGATTGACAGAATTGAGTTTTGTGTTCACAAAATTTAGTTTTGTGGGACAGGATTGACAGAATTGAGTTTTGTGGGACAGGATTGACAGAACTGAGATTTGTGTTCACAAAATTGACTTTTGTGAGACAGAATTGAGTTGTGTGCACAAAAGTAAGTTTTGTGAGACAGAATTGAGTTTTGTTAGACTAAATTGAGCCCTGTCCTGCATGGCGCCCCGTAGATAGAAGCATATTAATCAATGCTAGAATATTTCCTCTCCAGTTTAAATGCATAATGTTCGCAAAGTTTTATACTTCTCGGAGATATACGCATGCTCGAGCACCGTTTCAGGCGTGCAGTACGGACTAAAGACAATTGCATTATATAGCTTGCTAAGAGAGAGAGAGATAGAGAGAGAGAGAGAGAGAGAGAGAGAGAGAGAGAGAGAGAGAGAGAGAGAGAGAGGGAGGAGAGAGAGGTGGGAGATTAAGGAAAGGCGGTAGAGAAGATAGCTGAAACGCGGTAGAAGGGAAATAACGTTGAACGGGGGATAATGGAGGCTAGGGACAGGACGGGAGGTGACGAAGTAGCGGTTTCGCACCCTACATGATAGGGCGCTTTCCTAATTATAAACACAGGTCTACTGATAACAATTTATTACATAAATCTATGCTGAGATACCCCCTAACGATATTAAACATATTACATATTCAACAAAAAATACAACTCCTCTTGTGAGATATTGCGCTTGCGCTAACGCACTAACGTAACCAGATTGTCTAGTGATTTCTATTTGCAGCGGGCACCTTACAAGAAAGGTCTTCTTCTTATTTCTCAAAACCGGTCTACTATTCGAATGTTATCATATTAATCTATGCTAGAACACCTCATCTCTAGTTTAAATGCATAATGTTCGCAAAAATTATTATTCTCGGACGATATTGCGCATGCCCGAGCACCGTATCAGGCATGCGGTACCGACTAACGACACCTGCATTATATAGCTTGCTGAGAGAGAGAGAGAGAGAGAGAGAGAGAGAGAGAGAGAGAGAGAGGCGTGGGTGACTGAGGAAAGACGGCAGGGAAGATAGCTTAATTAGGCGCTGTAGAAGAAGAAGGAGGCTGAGCAAGGAACAGGGGAAGCAAGAAGGACGGGAGGTGACGAAGTAGGGGTTTCGCACCCTACAGGCTAAGGCGCTCTCTTAATAATTATAAACACAGGTCTATTGATGAACATTGGTGATTTATTATCAGGATAATGTATTTAACTAGTACCCGGATTTAAACTTGATTCCATGAGGTGCCAAACGAAACTGAACAATAATCACTGTTAGCCCATGGCCAATACGGCCTGCATACTGACTGTCACTGTTTTTATTTTAAAACAAACAAAATATCAACGCGAACTCGATACACAATGTGATCGAGAAGATCTCGCACTTGACGGAAAAGTTGCGAGCCTGCTGGAAACTTTGTATTACACCCGATAACAATATATTGCATGACAATAATGGAAACAATGTGAATATTTTCCCCTTTCATCTATTTAATTTATCTTTTATTTAATTTATCTATTTATCTATTTAATTATTTATCAATTATTTTATTAATTATTTATTAATGATCAATTATTAATTATTAATTATTAATTATTAATTATTTATTAATTAATTTATTAATTATTTATCTATTTATCTATTTAATTTATCTTTTATTTATTTAATTCGCTCTCTTCATGCTTTGCTGATACAATATCACACACATCACACACGCATATTACAAAGTAAACATGATTAATGTAGTAATGAATAATTAAGCCGTGTGTAAGAGCGCCACACATGTCGAGACACTCGAAGATCGAGATATAGTATTGTAAGCTAACTGGCGTGGAGGTATTGTAAGCTAACTGGCGTGGAGGTATTGTAAGCTAACTGGCGTAGAGGTATTGTAAGCTAACTGGCGTGGAGGTATTGTAAGCTAACTGGCGTGGAGGCGTGAGGAACCTCTACTCTACGAGACTCTACTTTGTGACAACCCACAAGATGATTTCGAAGGTTTTAAACCTTTCGAAATACAACACTAGGATAAAATCGCAAGTGTAATACAGTAATAGTAAATTGTCAATAAGTTCCTCTTCCCAACATCAAGTCAATTCGCACCAGCTAACACCGTTTCATCGCTACATGGTAAACGTCAATTTTTCTACTAGTCCAATTGCGAACCGTTAGAGCTAGTAATCGTACTTTTGCCTGCGTATACGGTATGCATATTTACAGATGCGTACTGCTCATAGGGTCTATGTCCCCCAGGGTACTGCCGGGACGTACCCTGGGTACGGTCCGGTATACTGGAACGTACCCTGGTCACTATTTAATATGGTTAGGGTTAGGATTAGGGTTGGGGTTAGGGTTAGGGCTCGGTTTCGGGTTTGGGTTAGGGTTAGGGAGTAGGCGTAGGCGACTCCCTAGACTCGTTAGTGGAGTAGGCGAGGTACGGTCCGGCATATTAGATAGTGCCAGGGTACGCGTTCCGGTATACCGGACCGTACCCAGGGTACGTTCCGGCAGTACCCCGGGGGACATAGACCCTCTCAGCATTAGTACTGTGTGTGTTTACGTTCCTGTGTACCGAGAGGCGCGGCCATCTGAATTCAGCAATGCGGCTCTGATCTTCGTCGCGTTACCGCACGCATTTACCTTTTTAATCTCTTAAAAATAAGGGCCAGGTCTAGAAGCCCGTACATTGAACCTGAACGTGATGTAAATTCCAAACGAGTAGCGGCAGGAATTAAACGTTTGCATACAACGATTTGAACTGACAGCGGCCGACAATATCTTACAGCTGAGTGCGATGCGGGAGTTGCGATTGAACTCGCTGAAACAAACTTTTTTAGTTTGGCCGTATTTCAACGTTCTACGGTAATCGTATCACTTCTTTGTAATCATAAGAAAATGTTCTAGCGGTTTCCTATTTTTGCGAAGGCATGTCTGGCAGTATGCCGCAGTGCGGACGCGTTGAAATTACTCTTGAACACGGAATCGCGTAATGTTTCGCAGCAGAATTCAATATGGCGGAGGGATCGCAGACGCCTCGTGCAGATTTCATGAAGGCACATAAACGATGCGCGTACAATTCTAGATGATATGCGGGTGTCACGTGAGGAGTCGTAATTTCCCGCTGTCTCTCTCCCTACATTTCCCTCCCCCTCATGCACGCATACCTCTTTCAACGGGGTCGTAGAAGTATCCGCTGTCGGTCAGACTGGAAAAGACGGAGGCCACCAGGTCTGAGAGTTATCTCTAAGCGAAGGCATGCGCAGCCACTCTCTGCGACGTGTCAACTTCCAACTCCAGCCCCTCCTTCTGCTGCTACACGCGCCGTGCCTGTCCAACACACAAACACACATTGACCGTTATTCAGCCTGATAAGGTTAGAAGATCGAAAGCACGAAGAAGACCGTCGTGACTGTAGTCGTTCGTCGCTAAATTTATGGCTGTAAATTTAATATAAATATCCTCAAATATCAAAGTCAAATCTCAAACATATAGCTCTACGGTGTCGCCAATCTTCACCTTCTCTATGCCACCCACTTACCTTCTCCTCTCTGTGTCGCCTCTCCTTATCCTCTTTCTCCCCCTTACCTTCTCCTCTCCTCCTCTCTCCATCCCCTTAATTACCTTCTCCCCTCTGTGTCGCCTCTATTTCTCCTCTCTCCAGCCGCTTACCTTCTCCTCCCTGTGTTGCCTCTCCCTCTCCTCTCTCTCCCTTACCTTTCCCTCTCTGTGTCACCTCCCCTTATCCTCTCTCCCCCCCTTACCTTCTCTATATACCCCTTTACTTTCTCCTCCCTATGTCTCCTCTCCTTCTCTCTCCATCCCCTCTATTTCTCCTCTCTCCAGCCGCTCACCTTCTCCTCTCTGTGTCACCTCCCCTTATAGGTGTGAGATCTGTATCCAGGTGTGAGATCTGTATCCCGGTGTGAGATCTGTATCCAGGTGTGAGATCTGTATCTGTGCAGAGTGATTGATGTTCGTGCCAATGTTGTCTTTGCAGACCAGGTGCCACCATTTATTAAGCTGGGTTTACACTGACGATTTTGAGTTGCCGAATTGCCAAAAATTTGTGTACAAACTTGCCAATTTGGCAATTTGCCACAATCGGCAGTGTAAAACGCAAAAGTCGCACGTCCAACCGATTGATAGCAGCGAGTTGGGAGATTAGAACATGTTCTAATTTCACCAACTCGGGAGTAGGCGAGTTGGACGTTTTTTTGCCAAGTGGCCAATCAGAGAACAGCAATCAGGGGTGTGTCCCTCCACCCTAGGGGGAGAGCACGTTCTTGCTTTAGGCGCCACGCTGGCGGCATGGAATACATGCAAAAATGCGTATCCGCGTAGCCTTCGCGCACACGCTGCAGGTCAAAATGTTTGCCGCATCGCGGTCGATAACGTAAGACATTTGAACATATATAGAGATGTTGGTAGAAAGAAGAAAAACGCCCCAAGTTGCCTGCATAAAGTTGATAACTTGTGTAAACCCAGCTATATCGATGTAGGAGGCGCCGCTGTTGCTCATCTATTTATGGCTCCACCATTGCTCCACCGTCACTGCTCAGTGTAGGCATTTCACTCTCGTTTTTATTTGTAGGCAGGGTTTCTTCTGAGCGAAAATTAGACAAAGGAGGTAATGGCCAGTTTGGGAAAAACACTCATGATGGATTCAAAGGCGTGCACGCATGCGGACGCGGGGGGGGGGGGAGGCATGGCAATCTAAATATGCCAGAAGCACGTGGCGATCTATATATTTTTGGGTTGACACTATTTTGACAACGGCGGTTAAATACAGGAACATTTTCACAACGGCGATGTTAAGTTTGACAACAGCGATGTTAAGTTTGACAACGGCGGTGCGCCACTGTGCCTCTTCTGTATAAGAAACCCTGTGTATGAAAGCCCCATAATCCTTCTGCTATGCGTAGTATGCTACGTGTAGGTGGGGCCACCAGTCACTACCTCTCACATGTGTAGGGGGGGGATGGCACGTTTTCGAGAGATTAGTTGCGTAAACTATTGAAACGTATAAAGTCGTGATATATCAATACTCGTCGACGAGTTGTTCAGGGATGAGATTGGAGAATTAAATTTTCAGCTGAAATTGAAATTAGCAAACAGAGGAGCGAGCAATGCGAGAACCGTAGGTCATCGCCATGCTAGGGGTGTCCGTGGGCATGCTCCCCCGGAATTTTTTTAAAAGAATGGTGCAATTTGGTGCATTCTAAGCTATTCTGAACACATTATAGAAGACTCTTGAATCACTTTTTCAAGTTGTCAAAAGGAACAAACGAACTATGAATAGGAAATCAGGGGGCTGAAAATAGGGCAAGCTTTTTTATTAAATGTCTAGACATAATAGGCGTGTTCACACACAAGAAAAACCGCGATGCTAATCGCGATGGAAATACCGAGATAATTGTGTCGTTGTTCACACAGGCGGAAATATCTCGCTAATCGCCGAGCGGGATAATTCTATTAATCGAACTGCGCATGCTCACTGCCGGAATGATGCTCACTGCGCATGCTCACTGCTCACTCGCTTGGAATGATGGGATAGAAAATACCAGGAATTATTTGCGCGAGCGTTCACACACACGCCGCGGTGCAAATAATCGCGCTAATTCCAAATAACCGCAGTCAAAAGTGCGATTTGGAGCACGATGCTGATCGCGATTATTAGTGAGATTATTGCGTTCACACTTGTAATAATCTCGGTATTTCGATCGCGATGCAAAAACCGGGATTTGCATCCCGCTAATTCGCGCCAGTGTGAACGCGCCTATTGATATTTTTCTGTTTCCACCCTTCACTTGCATTGTTTTACTCAGACATAAGCTGCCTTGCTGCGACGAGATTTGAATGAAAAAAACACAAAGCGAATAGAACAATCAGTGCATAGTCATGCACACAACATGCACACAGCAACATGTGAACCCGGCCCCCAGGCCAGGCATGGTCGTTTTGTGATCAGCTACCTCAAATGTCTGCCCCCTTTACTGCAGCCTGTGAAAAAGGATTTTCTTTTCTGGTACACAAAAACAGATACACTGTATACTTCGCTGTCAGTCTACTGTCTACACTCTACAGTCTACAGTCAGGTGCTGTTGAGGGTATATAATTTAAATTTTTACATTGTTACCCCCTCCCCCTAATTTTCTCAAGGAATTTAGACGTTTTACAAAATCGATCCCTGGGACTGTCAAATCCGCGGATTTCCGCGGATCCGCGGAAAAATCTCATCCCTGGTTGTTGCCTTCGTCAGGTGGAGCGGGACCTGCCGTTGATCCGGCTGTGGCTGTGCATCATCTCCGCCGTCGTCTGCCGGCTGTCCGTTGCCATGGGGATCGCGATCATCTTCGAGTACAGCATCGTGGGACCGTTTATCTGCCTCCAGCTCGGCTTTCTCGCCTACGAGAGATTGATACTAGAGGTACGCCCGATAACGACCGCGTCAGACCCCCGCTGAGCAATCGAAACGACTAATCTGTGCAGTGCTGCCACCTGATGTCATTAAATAAAAATTTCTCCGACCGTAATTGAATTGGTTTTCTCTGCAGGACATTCCGTCGACGGCGCAGCAGCAGAACATGGTGGTGGCTGCGCTGATGCTGAGTGGCGTGCCGCCGAACGTGATCGAGCAGGTGAATGGCGTTACGGCGAGGGTGACGCTGATAGCGACCGACTTTGCCGTCTTCTTCTTCACGTTCGTTCTCGTCCACACCATCTTCAGCATCGTCGGTCTGTAGCTGCCTTAGCGGGGCTTTCCGCACGCCTCGGCGTAACAGATGGCTCCACATCTTCTACCCCCCAATTTTGACGGTTCAGATTGGTCGGGGCCTTTACATAGCGCTGCGCGAAAAGCAGAGGTCGTTCGTTAAATCGTGTTTCCTTGCATCATGTAACGAGAGCAACGGTTTGTTGAAGTTTCTGCGGCTACCGTTTTTTATATTTATATGAGGGGGAGACAGCCGGTTTCAAGTGCTCTGTGAAGCATGACATGCGGCAGTTAGGGTTAGGTTAAAAACCGGGATGGGATCTGATAGTAGTATGGTTTTAGTCATGTTAAAGGAATCTTTTTTGGGGGGGGGGATGTGTTCAAATTTGACATCATAGGTCTTTTAAGGATTCTTGGCAAAATGTGTGCATGCAAACCTAGTTCAGTAGGAATCTGTTTGGAATCCAGGCGGTAGCACCTTTCATAATAGGGATTTTGTAATGGACGACATATAGGACAGGGAAGCTGGTTCAGTAATGAATCACGGTTTCAATTTCTTGTGGGTGGGATGACAATGATTTTCTACACACCTTTGTTTTGAGAGGGGGCTACGTTATAGCCAGAAATAGTAATAATATTAGGTCTCTGATGCAGAGTCTTGGATGCCGATGACTGCTACCTATTGAGGTTGTGAATTTAAGATTATTATATTGGATTACAATACCTGGGGCTGCAGTTGCATGGTGTGGGTCCCCACTAAAGCATCTTTCGGTTATGCTGTCTATGGGACATCTCCTGGAATGCCCCCTATTACCAGAGCCCTGTAGACCTGGAGGTTTTCAACCACTGCAAGGTCCCGTGTGCTGCAGTGGCTAGGTCGAGTGTAGTGTAGTGACCCCGAGAAGGAGGTCATGCTGTGAAATAAACTGACGTTGCATCGGCGACAAACGACAAGTTTTAACACGTGGCTATAGCTGCCTCGTTCGGTTATTCCAGTTCTTTATCCAAGTCTCAAAAATGTCATCAGAGGTTCAGTGCGAGTTTAGTGTAGCTGAAAATGCAAGGCATCGACTGCTTTAGAGTTGACACAAGGTCAGAGATCCTGAAGTAGCTACAGTCTCTAAATTACTAATTAGTCATACTCGTTATGTTGTGTACTCGAGAAATTGGGGAAATCATTGTGCACGTGTCATGCTATGCCACTGCCAACACGGGATATAAAAGATATGTTATTTATAGTTGGTTATATGATTTAAAAAAATGACCCACTGTAACTGTATTCAAAATGTAAATTGCATGATGATCTTCAGATCTTTAGTTATAATTATGCACAAATATTATAAACTACTGTTAAGGTATTAGCTGTACTATCCTTATAGGCTAACGATTTGTTATTCTTGTCATATATTTTCCCTGCAACTGTTCCGCTGTTGGTTGTACACTGACAATGTATAGTTCTTGTTGGACGCTTGATAATAGTTTCAATCAAAAAACAAAAAAACTTTCATATCAAGTCTTTTATCTCGTTTTTTTATTACAAAACTTCAATGCTACTCATAGTAATACGTTTCCTACAGTTCAAGTCAAGCTTTACTGCTTGTACATTCTACTACATAAAAACTATTTATTATTTGCCTAACAACATGTTCTATGGTATGCCATGGTGTTTTGAGTACCACGATATTGTAAGAATATTTTTAGGTACAAAACTTTCGAGAAACAGTTCTAACAAATTTGACCCAAATATAAAATGCTCAAAAGACTCACTGTCATCACATTAAACAGGTGCCATGGTGCAGTAAGTAAACAACCTGTCTCATCTGCAACTTTCCCGCAACTTTCCCGTAAACCCATCTCACGGCTACAACACAGATCCACTGGTCATTACCGTGCCACCTGATCTATTCTCTACGTTATCACCAAGAACTCATAAAGCCTGGGAATGACATTACAACTTGTTACCTGCTCGGGCGGACAGCCGAGAACACTACTAAAGCTACAGTCGGTAATTATCACTCCACTCTGCCATCTAGTGGCAGAGATTTTAACTACATGGCCGAGTTCATTGTGTAGTCGAGGTCGCACGTGACTTGACGCGACACAAGGCAGTTAACGTGCCATCGATATTCCATTTTTATATCATTGATGCTACAAACATTTTTGTTTCTTGTGATCTTCCTTCCCCTTCAAAAAAGATTGCACATCTCTACTCTGCTTGCAAGACCAAAGAGGTCACGACTCAGGACGTCCCTGAACTGAATTGCTGAATCGATTCAATCTCGACTTCCCACAATCCCTGGAAAACCAAGGAAGTCAAGGAGAGCCTATCCAATTCGATTTTCTCTACTGATCTCTTCTGTCTCCAATCGATCCAATTCCTCTCTCTCATGTGACAATCTCTGCTGTTGTCTCGGTTCCCGCTCACCCCCGTCAGTCGCTGCCCTCCCTCTCCTTCACTTCCTGCTTCTCCCGCCGTCTCTCGTCTGCGAGCGTGCGCGTGCGCAGCAGCTCGGGGCGGCCGTCCGCAAGCATCCTCGCCTCCCATGCGTGCATCGCCGTGTCGTAGCGCCCTCTATCCGCCTCCGCCCGCTTCTTGTAATGCTGAAACATGACGCGGACTAGTTATAGACTCCCACGCAAATAGTGTCATAGTGACGGCATGTTAATACATGCAGAAATAGATCGTCTGGCCACAATTAAAAAAATCTTTGTTTGCCCTCACCCGACCCAGGCTCAAAAGTTTGGGTAGGTAGGTAGGCATTTTTTTAAATTGGAATTTGGAATTTTTTGGGGGGTCTTTTTACAAATTCAGCATGGTGTCTACATGCTCGGGTGTGCTTGAGTGGAGATACCTTTTATGTTGAATGTTTGTTTTGCTTGGTACATATAATGTATTGCCCACAGATTTATATAATGTACAGGGATACAATTTGTATATAAAAAAAAGAATGGGAAAGATCAAGAAAATTTTTTGAGTCAGCCCCTTTTTGGCAGGTCGGTCGGGTGAGGGCAAACAAACTATATTTGTATTATGGCCTCTACCATTTCAAGCTGTTCTACAATATTCTCTCCCTACTTGCCAGAAGGACTTGCCATGATCTCTGCAACTGTTTACTGTAACAACTATCTTGTGTATGTTAATGAGTGTGCATGCGTGCATTTCCGTTTTAGCGTTGGTGTTTTCTGTTTATAGGTTTATTGTTTCCATTTCAGATTGTGCTGTTTTCATTCAAAGCAGGGCGCATTTGCTTTAGCAAGTTTTCTATTTTACTCTTGGTGCTTTCTGTTTATGTTTAGTCAGGCCTTTTTACCATTTCATACTGTATATAGTTGAACTGCTATCCAAACTCTTCTTACCATTTTCTCGGCTTCGGACAAAGACTTCCAGTGGTCCCCACACTGCTGCACATATTTCTGGAAAATACTAAAGCAGTTATCTAACCGATGATCATATCACAATGGCAAGAATCTCCAATTGAAACATTCGTGCACAGACCACAGATTTCATGCTCTCGATTTACACGACTACAATCTCGGGTTCTGAAACCAATGCTTTTATTTACCAACAGGCTTAACCACCCTGGCGGCTTAAAATTTTGAACCGGATAGCAGGTAGAACCAATAGTGAAGCTAGACTGGTGCCACCGATGACACGCGTAGCTTGTCGTACCGTCACTGTGCCCGAGTGGTCCCACTCTAGCATCCTGTCCTGGAAATAATAGGCCATCTGTGAGATCGGTCGCTTTGGTTTGCCAAGTTTCTTCAACTCCTGTGGGAAAACGAGCATACACGCAATAATGAACCATGCGAGAGAATGGGGTGTAGATTACCAGCTTGCCATTCTACAATCCTTCTATCAGATTACCTCCAGCTGTTACACCATACTGCACTAGCAAAGATACCACCAACAGAGGAAATACGTGCTACGCATTAACGAGCGCTATGCAACGGTGCAACACTTACCTTCTCCTCCCTGTGTTGCCTCTCCCTCTCCTCTCTCGCCCTTACCTTCTCCTCTCTGTGTCACCTCCCCTTATCCTCTCTCTCCCCCTTACCTTCTCTATATACCCCCTTACTTTCTCCTCCCTATGTCTCCTCTCCTTCTCTTTCCATCCCCTTCCCTTCTCCCCACTGTGTCGCCTCTATTTTTCCTCTCTCCAGCCGCTTACCTTCTCCTCTCTGTGTTACCTCCCCTTCTCCTCTCTCTCTAATGATTCCATCCCCTTACCTTATCCTCTTTCAGTCTTTGTGTCACCTCTCTTTTTTCTCTCTCCCATCTAAGATTCTATACTACAGGCCCTTGGAGGCTCATGTGTCAAGAAGGGTGCTAGTCTATTATAAGACCAAACTGCATGCAGTGCCCCTTCGCTCACTCAGGATACATTGAGATAGATTGAGGCTTAGATTGAGCCCATGAGCGAGAGCGCCATCTGTCGTGGAGTTTGTTATAAGACATGACCAATGACCCAGAGTAAAAGAGCGAAGCGGTAAGGCTTTTCCTTCCTGTGACGTGTTGCCTGTCCTTCTACTCTCCCCCTTACCTTCTCCTCCCTGTGTCGCCTGTCATTCTACCCTCTGCTTTACCTCCTCCCTTCCGTGTCACCTCTCCTTGCCCTCTCTCTCTCCCCCATTATCTTATTGTATACTAGTATATATGCACTATTATTGTTTAGGATCATCTCTGGCTTTACAAGTGTCTCGGAGTATCGTAATGAACGGTGAAACAGCTTTAGAGTTTTTTTTTTTAGAGAATTGTATACAGTTATATTTGACATAATATTAATGATTATATTATTTTACAATATTTAAATTATTTAAAGCTATACAAGTACATATGCGAATTAAAAAAGTCTAGTTAAATTTTTAAATGATTTTAGCCGCTACAATCCCCTACATCCGGAAATCTGACTGCGATGGCGCGTATGCCAGATTGCCAAGCGGTGAAATGACGGAAAGCTTTTTTAGTTTTGCTTCAGACCTACCCGTAAGAATTATTGTTATTTAAAAGTATGACGGTACTAACATTCCAAATGTTAAAAATGGTATTCCGCATCTTCTATATGCGGAAATTATTAGACTATGCTGAGTTTCAACTAGTAGTAGTACAGTGACGTGAGTAAATTAAAAATGTTATGCTAGGGGGCCTACTACTACTACTAGTACTAGTACTACTACTACTACTACTACTACTACTACTAGTACTAACAATGTAGCTCTAGTACTATACCCCGCGTACAGTTGCTGCAGGGCTATAGAACGTAATATGGCAATTTCGAATGAGTTTTTTCAGACAACTTTTTGCGGATAATAACTTCTTCGGTATTAAACAACAAACTATCGCTTAAATATTGTACTTGCGATATTACTCGTCGACGAAGATTGTTTATCAACTTGTAACCGCCATTTCTCATTGCGCAGCCCTCGCGCGGTTCCGGCGCCAGTGAGCGGGCACAATGTATTTCCAAGTGGAGGGGTGGGCAGGTTGCACGCGGTTGCAAACCGCGCTAGCGCTGCGCAACGAAAAATGGCGGTTAAATTCGCGTGCAACTTGCCCACCCCTCTACTTGGAAATACATTGTGCCCGCTCACTAGCGCCGGAACCGTGTGAGCGCTGTGCAACGAGAAATGGCGGTTACAAGTTGATAAACAATCTTCGTCGACGAGTTATATCGCAAGTACAATATTTAAGCGATAGTTTGCTGTTTAATTTTAGTGTTTATAGTAACTTAAGACATTTGTACGGCAGAGAATGTGTTTTATTTGGTATACCAAAGAAGTTATTATCCGCAAAAAGTTGTCCGAAAAAACTTATTCGAAATTGCCATATTACGTTCTATAGCCCTGCGGCAACTGTACGCGGGCTATAGTACTAGAGCTACTAACAATGTAACATTGATGATTGATTAATAACAGTACTCAGTAGTCAGTACTACTACTACTAGTAGTACTAGCACGGCAGAGGTACATGTGACTTCAATATTTCACACCTTTCGCTAGTTACACTGGTATTTCTCATTAGGTGTAATTTTATTAATGCTACTTACTATAGTAATATTATATCCCCTTAGTTAAGCTTAGTTAGGCTTAATTAAGGTTAAAAAAAACGAAAGTACAAGTTTGAAAAAACTTCGGTTCTGGGGTATGAGCGCTGACCACATTTCATTTTCGCAGTGTGCGACATGTGCAAATGTGGACAGCTCTTATATCTTTTGGACAAAACGTACACCATTCTTGACCTCAACAACAATCATGAGTCAATATAATAATACTCAATACAGTGAGTGAGGCTGAAGGGGTCGTTGTCATATAGGTACCCAAGGTAATGCTAGTCTAGGGAATCGCCTACGCCTACTCCCTAACCCTAACCCTAACCCTAACCATATCAGATATGTACCTCGGGTACATATATGTGGTACCCTATACGACAACGACCCTTCGTGCGTGAGTGAGTGATCACATGCCAGGATCAAGTTCTCAAATGGGTGTTGGCCCAAGATTGAACAACACTCAACAGTGCTGTGAGCATTGTAATATGATAACTAATAATACATTCGGCTTAGCACACCTGAAACTAAAATACTTAAAAGGTTTAGTCTAGCTGTGATGCTTCTACAAATCGTTGCCAATCTTAGTTCATTGTCGATTTTAATGACGGTCATGTAAAAAAAATCGTAGAGAATGTAGTAATTTTGAAAAAACTCAATAAAATTATTTAATAAAAAAATGCAAAACGTGATTAATATTGCTACTGTTCTACCAAAGGTTCAAATAAAAAATCATTGTTTATATAATTCTGTTTTGTAGTTACACTTAAAGCCTCACAATGCGCATCCAAACGCTGAAATTTCTCCAGTACTAGACTAGCAACTACTTTGTGGCATGCATAATCACACTACACCGTTGGACTCCCGTGTTCAAAAGTTAATTTCTACCCCTGCAATTATATGCACCTGATTACAATTATGAGATTACTACCAACTTTTAAATGTTCAGATTTTAAATCAGCACGCGCATCGTTATTTCAAACAAGACATACATATAGTATTATACTATACGATATAGGACCATTACGAATGCCCTCCAATCCAGGGCCTTAGAACCAATAGTATCTTGCGTTCATGGCCAGTATGATCTGGTCTGCCGACAATACCGACCTTTCAGGTCCTTCTGCTGAGTCATGAACTGTATGAACGGAGTCGCCGGCCGCTTGGGAAGCTCCGGCGCTTTCGCTCTCGTTGATTCCGACGACTGTCGCCGGCTGACCGCCTCGATCGCAGACGACACATGAAGGCTGGTCCTGTCAGAGGACGTAACGCATCATGAGACATGACAGGCGCTACCTCATCGCTAGCTCTACCGATGTGGCCCCCTTCCCTCCCGCTAGGGCTATAGTCCTATACTACAACGAAGTACAAGAAGTGGAACTTAACAAGAACATTTACAGCGTACATACGATTTACTAGATACAATAATGTAACCCAACACAAGAGTAGGGTTACAACGCGAGTGTATTCTTTTCTTTGGAGGAGCCCCTCGAACGATCGGCAAACTTCGGTCAGCTTTAGTGCGCTGCAAGCCCTCCGATTGGTCGGTGAAGGATATGCGCCATATCCACGTGCCATTTCTCAGGCCGATCGCTATGCACATTGGGAAAGCCAGCGTCACAGGTCACCAGAAATGGCGCTCGAAATATCGCCGCTCGTCGCTTCGAAATTTTGTAACAGGTTATATTAGTTTAATACAGAGTATTGTGATACATAGTAGTAGTAAGTCCCAGGATAGCGGAGAAAGGTTCGTGTTTAGAATAAACCCAGTTTGGAAGTTCTAGTATAGAAAAACGCACCATAAAACTGCCCTGAGTGAATCACTCAGGGACTACTCCAAAGAAAAGAATAGGCTCGCGTTGTAACCCTACTCTTGTCACGAACAAGATTGGGTTTACATTATTGATATTGTATCTAACGGTTTACATTTGCCACCAATGCTGTAGACTGTGGCGCAATAAAAAATCACCCTCTAGGCTGCAACATAAACTTGTAAGTTGTATTCTTTTGCCAGCTACTGAGTGCAGTACTAGTACTAAAAGTATTTGCTAGTCTAGTACTGTAGAAATTAGCGTTTGGATGCACATTGTGAGCCTTTAAGATAAGACTAGGTCGAATGTAATATCTATTTGAAGTTTGGCAATGGTATATTATGCAAGTTGCTACAATATAATATAAACAGTAATTCTCATTAGAGGAATCACCATATTTTTCTTTTTTTTATTACAGCCTGCTGGGGATCATGTAGATCTTGAATTAAATGGAGGCTATGAAGAGGAGATTGATCAACTTAATGATGAAACTTTTGGTGCTGAAGTGGATGAAGGTATTAAAGCCTACACTGTATGAAGAGACGAAACGGCGTCATGCTTGCTAGTTCTAAACACTGTGTATGCTGTATAATATGCTGTGTGATGTGATATATCTATGAATGAGTCATGGTATATTAATAATTATAATGATACACACATTCATAGCCTATCATGATAATAGAAAATCATAGGCAAGTGGTTAGGTAAGATACTAAGAATTATCTGGATGAATGAGAAAATAAATTGTTGTGCAAGTGCTGTTGCTGCTGCTGCTGCTTTGTCGTGTGACACAAGCTATAACAGTCTTTAGTTTTACTCGAAATTGTTGAATAATTTACATTTGTATTAAAAAAATGGTTGTCATTGTGAAAAAATATACAGCTCAAGTGTGAAAATGAGGGAAATATCTGCTTTCCAATTATGAATTCTATTAAACCCAAATGTAGTCTACATAAAACTATGGCTGTTTTTGCATTTTCACATGCAATTTTAATATATACAGTACCTACATTGATGGACTAGGTTTATGGAGTCTAGGTAGGAGTATGGAGACTAGGTTTTTGTTAGTACTTATAATGTTATATGCAACTGTATATAACAATAGTCTTTTTTTCATTTTGTTTCAAAGTTTTCACTTGCTAGTTTAGTGAAATTGCCAGTGTTGTTTATTCATCACCTTTTGCGAAGGTGGCACATGTTATATTTTAGTGGCTGCCCTACGCCAGGCTGTATAACAAGTAGCAGTCTAGTGAAAATAGGATAGCTATTACACTATCAGTATCACTAGCGATTAGTCTATTACACCTGCCTAGACATGGATTTAAGTGGTGCTGAAGGGCACGAAATTAGCACCGGCTCACCGGCATATGCCGGCAAATTATTTGGAGGGCCAGTAACATTGGCAAAACACCGGCCCTCCGAGCCAATGGTTTCAGCCGTGTTAACGAGTACCTACATTTTTATTTATATGGCAATGATGATGCATGATGATATATGAGCAAGTAGCCTACATTACTGTTTTACTTGATTTAAACACTTCGGACATCATTCACGATCTGCATTATAGTCTGTTCAACAGCTACTATGCGATGCCACACACTACAAAATTTTTCGGACAAGCTTTTTTAATTATTATTTTAAGTCTTATTTTAGGTCCCTTCTGGTTCAAACAGCAAACAAAATTTGTGAGGGCTAGTAAAAAAAACTGCTGTTACCAGCCCTCTGGACAGGTGCAAAAAATCTTAATTTCATGCCCTGTGCTGTATTTTATTAGCCGAGTGGGACCATGATGACCACAAGAAGTTGGCAGAGTTGACAGAACATGAGAAGAGCAATGAGGGTGACATTATTGGTTTGCCAAAGAAAGTGTCTAGGACTGAAGAGGAGGTGGGTAAATTTACATTGAAAGTATTGAGAGTTCCATCACAGACAGTGCAAACAACAACTTGAAAATATGGCCATCCTTTCACGTGCTTGGTATTAGTTTGTAGGCTATACTAATTGGCACATGTAAAATGGAAGATATGTGCTGGTTATGTAAAAAATTTAGTCATAACTGTTACAATTGTGCCCTTTCATTTTTCATCATTCATTTTCGTAATGTTGTTATATCACTCCCTATTTTGCTATCCTTTTCGAGATGAACTCCTTATGCCACATCATTTTGAGAAAGAAAAATTATAATGGCCATAGTTTTGTGAATTTTAAACCATCTATAAAAAGTAGTTCATTGTATTTTGATAATTAGTTTAAGAATATATTTTGTGTTGCGTTTACCTCTTGTGTCGAATGCCTCATGATTGAAATAGCCATCTATGCCAGCTGTCTCATGTCGTGCTTGTTCAAAAAGGTTGTGCGTAGGTATTTGGGTGGCTGTTTTGACCAGGCTTACCTATATTGACGTGGGCGTTCTGCAATGTCATACCTAGATGAGGTACTGCATGCTATTGTGAAAGCAGCTCTAAACGATAGGTTGGATTTACAGGAGCTAGAGCAGAACATCAGCCAGATCGTGGAAGACGATCAGGATGGCCTGGATGACCCTGCAATACTCAACGTCTCAGGCAGCATTCCCATTCCAAAAGTAAGTGATGTCGCACTGCAGTGAGTCGGCACTGAGTCGGCACTGAGTCGGCACTGAGTCGGCACTGAGTCGGCACTGAGTCGGCACTGAGTCGGCACTGAGTCGGCACTGAGTCGGCACTGCCATAGACCTATTGTACGATTAATTTTTCACACTGTAATTGGGTGTCTCAGAAAAGTGTGATGATATTAGAAATAATATCCATCGTAGTACTGTTGCTATCATTGCTTGGTTCTTCACATAGTTTTTCAGCGTAGTCGCGGGTGGTCGGCTCCTAGTGCTCGATAACAGTTTCTTTCGTTGTCTTTCTTGTATAGAAGGTTCAGCAAAATCTCGAGCAAATCTTCAACTGTCCAACTTCACCACAGGGACTTTTGGATGCTGAACAACTGGTGAGTGCTTTAAACATTGGCCATGGCTACGCATCCAGTTACCGGACGCCCAGCTCCCAGGCGTCTGGTCATATATTTCTTCTGTGAACCCAACTATATTTTTCCAATAAAAAACAAGTTTTTACCATAATATTACTTACCTTTACAGTAACAAAAAAATGTGTTTTTGTAACTTTTGAAGCAATAGTAAATCCAGTAAAATCAACGATTTGAAAGGGGGCGTGGCCTAAAGCGTGACATAGATTTGGGAATCTGTGCTGAGCTTTGTAAGGGATGACCGGACGCGTAGCCACTGCGTTAAAAATGTGCTCAGCCTTCTGTACCCGAGTGTGTACTAGGCAACTTATTAAATTGTTTTTTTACAAGTTTAGGGAATTCTTGCACTGTATATTGCAGATATTGGCTCATGCACTGTCACAAAATCTTTCTCAGGTGTCACCGGGCAGAGCTAACATCTGGGGCAGTCCTGCGCGCGATGCGAGGGTGGTGTGCGGCGGCGGCGGCGGCGGTAGTCGCAGCCTAGAAGACAACCCACTCCGAGCCGTGTTGACGCGACTGCAGACAACAGGAAAACCTTCATCGTCGTTCGGCGGTCAGTCGGCTCCTGCTCCTTTCAACGTAAGCACGTCACGAGTTGATCGCCACGCTTGTATTACAGCGAAGATAAACAAATAGGAATTGAGATTAATGCTTTTCCACTTGCCACAAGCATGTATGTCCACCAGAAAAGTGCATAGTTAGAGGTGGGGGGAAATTTATTGTTGGTATTCTCTGTATTTTTTCGGTACCCTGTATAACCTCTCAGGCTGCACCCTTTAGTGTCAGAATGCATGTGAACCTGTGACTGTAAACAGTTGTTATGTATCTTGCTAATCTGATCAGTTTACCAAAAAATGCTTTTACGGAATAGTAGATTTTGACGGTACTTTTCAGAGAAGTAGTGGAATATTTTCTTAATTTTGACTTCCGAACAAATGTTTTCCATGCCTTAATCGTGTCTTCACGAGAAAAACGTTAAACTCGCCCCCGGGTGTCTTGCTGAGCGGATGGATGCTCACTTCACCGTTTCAATTGACTACGTCGCAAATTTTGTATGGTGTATATTTGCAAAATTTTTGTTGCAATTTTTTTCATGAAAAGTAAGCACTAACGGGACTAAATGTATCCTCAAATTCTTACCTGATAAGATTGTTTTTAGCTCATCTGACATAGTCAGATGCAGCTTGTAGAATCGCATGATCGTCCGTCCGTCCGTCCGTCCGTCCGTCCGTCAACAGTTGGGCACAAATCTAAACGGCTCGACGTACGGTCACGATATTCGGGACGTGGGGGGGTAATCCGAAAACGAGTTGGGATGTCGAAGCCAAAGGTCAAAGGTCAAGAGGTGTAAAAGAAGGGGGAACATTCCTCCCTTAACTTAAGGTATAGGGAGGAAATGCAGAATTGCGGCACAAATCTAAACGGCTCGACCTAGGCTCGTGATAGTCGGTGTATAGCATCATGGTAGGAAAAGCCATCACTGTGCCGAAATTGGAGGTCAAAGGGCAATGGGGCACAGGGCAGATTTTAGACATTTTCTGAGGACATGTTTCAGCGGTGACCTAGCATTTTTATGGCTTTATTGAAAGGACCATGAAATATGCTTTCCACTGACGTGTGAAGAGTAAGTGTCTGATAACCTTTTGACCCTGAAGAGGAGGGTTAAACATGGATTTGTTGACTGTTAACAAAGGAGTGAACTGCTTTTGCTATTGGAGCCCCCTCCCCCCACTTTCCCCCTTCCCCCTCTCCCACCCTCCCCCACCCCATACCCCCACCCTCCCCCTACCCTCCATCTGCGATAGTGGGCGTGTCCTAACAATGATGTGTACGCAACTGCGTGTCTGCATATCTGCGCCTAACAAATGTGGTACTACGCACGACTGAAATTTTACGTTTATAATCGTAGCAACAGACCTCAGATGAGCCCAGACGCTCTGCGGCTCTTGTTTTACTTTTACTATTTACGGTGACATAATCACTTTCAGGATCCGTCGGTGATCACGGTGGGAGGGCCCGTGTCTCAGCCTCCCCAGCAGCCCTACCCTCCCGCCCCGCCCCACCTCACCCACGCGCTGCCGCCCACCTACGCGAAGACCGTTCAGGAGCTGGAGAGCGAACTGCTGCAGCGGTCGGGCATGCGGGGCGGAAAGACGGTCGAGGAGCTGGAGAGGGAGATGATGGCGCACCCTGGAGGCGATGTGGTGCACTGTCATCGAGGAATGCAGAACGTGGGCTCGTCGCGAATGCCGATGGTATATAGATTGAGATTGTCTTTTTACTTGTTCTCACTGATAAAAACTTTGATTATGACAGTAAGTAATTTGTTATTATTATTATTATTATTATTATTATTATTATGTTGTTGTTGTTGTTGTTGTTGTTGTTGTTGTTGTTGTTGTTGTTGTTGTTGTTGTTGTTTATTTGTATGTATATATATATTGTCATTTCAATTAGATGGGGCCACCACCTGGTTTGCCACTGACACCTCAAATGGCAGGAGTTATGCCGCGGAGAAGGGGTGTGTCACCACCACTAGGACTAGGAATGAACCCAAATACTCCACACATTGTCAGTCTGGGCGCCATCCCTCCGACCACACTGCAGTCACTAAGTAATAGACTTCCTTATACACCTGTTGGAAGTCAATTTTCAGGTGACTAATACTCTATATTCTGTTGCAGATGTAAACTGAAACCTATCTAATGCTGGTCTTTGTATTATTGCACTTTTATTTGTATTTGTTCTCAGCTAGTGGTTGCATATGACATTTAATTACTGTGCCAATCAGCTGATGATTACAACATATATTCTACCTAAATGCTTTTATTTAATTTGGTAACTGAAAATACCACCGAAGTTCAACAATGTTGTGTGCCTTTCAACACGATTTTCGACCGCGATTTTGCTTTGAACCGTCATGTAGACTACATCTCTATGTGTTTATGCAGCTCCTGCCGGGAGAACGTCACCTCACGAAGTGTTTATGAGTGGCGGCCGGGGCATGCCGATGCCTGGAGCCGGTCGTATGTCTCCACCAGGCATGCTGCCTTTCCCAGGGATCTCTCCACATGGACAACCAAGGTCAGTCCATCGACTTATATGGAAATCGCGTCATGGTGTGGATCCGGGCTAGGATGTATTGGCGATGGCTATTGTTGCGTAGCATCATTTGTTGCAATTTCTGCAATGTGGCTTAACATTTTTAGCTCACCTTGACATCGTCAAGCTGAGCTATTGCCATGGGTCGTCGTCCGTCATACATCCGTCTGTCCGTCCGTCCGTCTGTCAACATTTGGCTATGGTAAACGATAACTCAGGAACCGTTTGACCCACATGTTTGAAATTGGGTATAGTTGTTACTGCTATGCTCCCATATTGAACGTCCTATTTTGGAGCACGCCAGTCGACGTACTTTCGAGCCTTTGACAAAAATGGGAATTGCCATTAGTCAGTTCAGGTTCAACGGATTTTGCTCATTTTTGGTATGTGAATGAATAAGGGCTAGGGGTTTTGATATTTAAATTTTTTTTATGCAAATTAGGTAGGTTTTGGCAATTATATAGCATATTATATAGACACAATAACAGATAACAGTCTGTGGTGTCACACTCGTCTGGTTCGTTTTACAAGATTTCATTGACAATATCTTTAATGCAAAATTGGTATTTCTTCTCCACCCTGCCGATAAAAAGTTTTACAAAACATGTCGGAAAGCAGCATTTAACCTATTTATTTCGAATGCCATCACTAAGAAACATCAAAGCGGGTATAGCGCCATCTACCGTCACAAATTGTGATTCATTTTGGTTTATAAATTATTATTGCGATATACAGATGGCAATCGTTTCTATAATGTACGTCGATGGTTGCTCAATTAAAACTGACTTCTTCTCACTCACTCATTTGTGTCCTTTTTTGTGGTGAGCTACAGTGTTATTGACACTTTCATTTCAACTTGTTCTCATATTTTTGTGTAAATAAGTAAATATAGAAAAACCCTTCCCCCCCCCCCATGGTGCCTGGCCATGGTTCTGGCCCCTGGCCCCCTAGGGGGGGGGGGAAGTAATTTTTCTGTAAATAAAGAAGACTATTTTAAATTTGTGCTTTTCTTTCTTAAATTATAGAATACCAGTTCCACTGCCATATAGTGATCCAACTCATCTAAGGAGGATGCCTCCAGGAAATTACAATCAAGGACCGGGCATGTGTCATCCATCCGTAAACAGGTAAGCGGTCTATATATAGATGCAGTGCGCGAAATTAGCGCTATTTTGCCGGCGGCCGGCGGTTCAACTCGCTAAACCATCGGTTCAACCCCCCGTATAATCAGTCCACTTGGCCTATTCAAAATTTTGCCTATCTTGCTTTTATATCAACAATATTTATCAATTTCCTGACTAGGTTTTACTTCACTAAGACTACTCTACTTGCTCTACTTCTCAATACAAACTGTGCAAATAAATACTGCCTAATAAACACAAAGCTAATACTTTTATTAATAATGGAATAAATTGAACAAAATTAAAAGCCTGTTCAAAATTTTAAGTGCCTGTTCAATTTGTATAAGGGCCTGTTTAAAATTTTGGGTGGGCCTGTTCACATTTTGGTTAATTTCATGCCCTGTAGATGAGTGGTTGGGGTGTAGAACAAGCTGAGATACAACCATAATATAATATGAAAATTAGCTCCTGTATATGATGACAGGTGCTATGTTGGATACACGTCCGTATGTTGGATTTTATTTGTTTGTCGAATACATTACGTTCAACGGGAGGTCGTTCGTATCTCGAAAATTCATATGGCGAGTCGTCTGTATCTCGTGGATCCACTGTAATGTGAAAATTAGCTCCTGTACACGATGACAGGTGCTGGCTCATTGAGTTGCTGTCGGGTTTGAAATTACTAGTTTAGCATATGTGATTGAGACCGAAAACTTCTGTGCCACTGTTCTAATTAGTACATAAACTTTTACTATTTTGAGAATGTACCCATTTTCCTGAATTTGATGGTTGTATGCTTACTGCAGGGGTTTCCCACCCGGTAGAGGATACGCTCCAAACAGGGTTGCATTCAACCAATTCCAACTGGATCGCAACTTCAACAGGCAGGGACAGTATGGGCACAACAGGTAAACTTTGTGCTATTGGTAAAATTGTTGTCTATCCGTACACAGCAATATCTATGAATTTTTTTGTTAATTGGGTCATAGGATACGTATCGTCCACGGGAAGTTAAACACGAACATTTTCGCGTGGAAACCCTTATAGCTTGGCAGGTTTTTTTGTTTAGCAAGCCATAGCATTAAAATGGTTGTATAATGATTATGTAAGAATAATTGTGTTAAAGGAATAATATGCTCATTGATTATGCAATGTTGACGAATGCTAGAGTAACTGGCACCTTGTGTAGTTAATAAGTACATTACCTTATAGCCAAATGCGTATTAGTTTGTCCAATATCACTGCTGGTTACATTACAAGCAAGACTTGAAATCGGTTGTTGATATTTATTTACGTGCCGTAAATGTCGTCCAGGAGTCAAGCGATAAGTCGCTGATGACGTAAACATTTGTGCGGCTCGTATGTTTTGGACGCCAGATGAAATGGAGGTGTCAGCTGTGTAACCACGTCCACGGAGGCAAAAATGGATGCAGTAAAACACACGTACTAATCACGGACGCACATGGACAGCCCTGACAAAAAGTTCCTTATCACTGTATCACGAGCGTCCGTGTTTACGAAATCACTGATGATAGCATTGCGTACGGCTGAGCATGCGTGCGAAAATGTCCGGTGCACTATAAATCTGTATCACACCCGCTTCACTGGCAGCGGTTTGAAAGTGAAACTGTAAACTGTAAACATTTCTTGGGCTGCAGATTTCAATTAGACATTTCTTAGTAACCAGCAGTGATATTGGACAAACTAATACGCGTTCGGCTATAAGGTAATGTACTTATTAACTAAATAAGGTGCCAGTTACTCTAGCATTTGTCAACATTGCATAATCAATGGCCATATTATTCCTTTAATTAGTCACATTGTTAAAATGAATATTCGTTATAATATTGTAGGGATGTAAATGATTACCGAAGACTCATTTCTCCAGCATTACAATATACAGTTGTGCAGTCGCAAACGTTTGACATGCTTCATTATTTGTACACGTGTCGTAATACTAACTGGGCGATGTATGTAGGAGGTGGGCCGGAGACAGGGATGATCACTGGGAGAGGGATAATGGCTTCGGAGATCAGGAGGATGAGTACGCCTGTCTAATGACGCAGCGCGAGAAGGACTGGATCGTCAAGATCCAGATGATGCAGCTACACACCAACAACCCTTACTTAGATGATTTCTACTACATGGTGAGATTGGCAACGTCAATCTAATTGTGTAAAGTTTTTAGATATTGAGCTGTTTGCTGCATTTCATTTATAACTGCTATATAGCATATCAAGAAAGACTTTATAATGTTACACATATGCCTTTTCAGTTTAGTTCTTTATATTAAAAGTATGTCATGCTAATCGTTATCAATTTATTGTAACAGAATTATTCGATAAAAGAGGAATTGAAAAGAAAGGCAAAACAGAAGGGTGCGAGCGGTGTCAGCAAAGACGATGCCAAGCTGATCATGCCAATTGTGCTGCACACTGAAAACAGATCATACCGACCAGGTACATACACAGTGAGGATTGCTAGTGAAAATTTTTGGGCGGTTTGCATATCGCTTTGCTTAATGGATGTAGGTCTAAATATTGGTGGTGCTCGTGTAAAATTACTGTAACAGCTGAGTGCTGGTCTTTCACATGTTTTCTGTGTACAGCCAAATTATACGTTTCCTTTTTTTTATTCTCTATCTTTTGACCAGATCTATTTAACACATCTGCGAGCTAACTAGCAGAGCGTACCTCTCATTGCCAGCTCAGACCGCATCTATTCGATACCACGCTCAAGTAGCAGATTACATCCTCCCCTCCCTGCTTGCTACAGTTTGCTTATTTCCTTTCGCACGATGATACCTTTTCGACCACCACTCCACGAACCTCCCATACAAACACGACATTACACTCGCGTAATAATTACAATTTGGTTACTATAATACTTATATAGCTTACTCATAATAAGTTTAATAATAATTATTAATACTGGTATTACTACGTGCAGCGCAGTTCGAGGGATCCCTGGGGAAGGTGTCCGTATCGAGCGTGAACAATCCGCGGCAGATGATCGACATCGGTCTGAACTCGGAGGAGGCCGGTAAAGCCGAGGTGGGCGCCGGATACGAGAACAGCAAGCAGGAGTTCAGGCGAAGCCGGCAGCTGCTGATCGACATCGAGAAGACGTACACGGTGCTGCTCGAGATCGACGACATTGAGAAGCAGGTGCCCAACATGCCCGAGGCAGTCAGGTGAGGAGGAAGGAAGCTACACAGGGAGTGAAGAGGAGGGAGGGGCTTATATATTTTAGGGCAAACGTCTATTTTCTATTTGTTTGCAAAGGTTGCGCTTGGTGATTACCTTGCTTGGCTGTGCTGAACCCTCACTACTGTCCGTTTTTAGTGAGCTGATGCATGAGAGAAGGCAGGAGAAGATCGAGCGAGCATACAAGCAGCTCCACATCGAAGGCTCGAACCTGGACTACCTCACGCAGGTCATGTGCGTACGGAAGGGCAAGCGCCTGGTCGGTCGCGTGCTCTCACTGCTTCATCACGCCGAGGCATGCTCCGTGCTGCTCGCCGTCGTTAGAAACTTGCCGCTGATAGCCAAGCGTGATCAGCAAGATGAGGTGCGCTCTTCTCGATGTTTCCGTGTACTTTTTTTAATTACAGTGTAGCCCCGTTATAACGCGATGGTTGGTGTCCATAAAATGTCATCGCGAAAAAAGCGGGGTCGCACTAAATCGGGGTTATATATACGTGGCTGTATAAGAGCAAAAAAAGGGGGTCCAACGACTCATCGCGTTATATCCGAATTCGCGTTAAATCGCGGCCCGTAAAATGGGGGTTCCACTGAACTCTTAATTCCCTCTAAATTTTTATACTACTTAATTCCGAATTACTGATAATTCTTAAGAACGTCTTCGTAACGAATATCGGTTTGCAGGCATGGGATAGTGTGTCATCTCGCAGAAAGGTTTGCTCGGAATCGGCCGACAAGAAATTCCGGGTTTTATGGGTCGTGGCTACGTAACGTGTGACGAAGACGATAAAGAATTCTCCTAAGCCTGGTATTATTAATGTTGTAGGTGTTGATCGAACTACTAGATTCCACTTTGCAAGCAATCTCACAATTCAGCTTCGAGATGTTGGTGGAACTTAGTAAGGTTTTGATGGGTACGGATGCCCAAGAGAAGAGTCCACTCATTGCTGCCATACATACCAAGGTAAACTTACTGTTTTTAAGCATTTAACACACACTGTCCTGGATTATTTGATCCTGTTTGCTTGGCTCTTTGTTGTACGGGTCCTGGCTTAGGGCACTCCAATATGGCACCATTTTTAGCTCACCTTGACATCGTCAAGTTGAGCTATTGCCATGGGTCGTCGTCCGTCGTACGTCCGTCTGTCCGTCCGTCCGTCCATCCGTCAACATTTGGTTTCGGTCAACAATAACTCAGGAACCGTTTGACCCACATATTTGAAATTGGGTGTAGTTGTTACTGCTATGCTCTCATATGGAACGTCCTATTTTGAAGCACGCCAGTCGACGTACTTTCGAGCCACGGGAATTTTTTTTGCAAAAATGGGAATTGCCATTAGTCAGTTCAGGTTCAACGGATTTTGCTCATTTTTGGTATGTGAATGAATAAGGGCTAGGGGTTTTGATATTTAAATTTTTTATGCAAATTAG